ATATTTTGAATTTTTGATCTAAAAACAAAACGATTGCAAGTTGAAAAGATTTATTGTGTGATTTATTTATTTATTTATTACAAGGAGACAAAATTACATACACATTTTACTGCTTCTTAGCAGCTGGTGGTGTACACAGTCTGCATAACCACTCATTTGAGGTACTTAGACTAGTGTCATATTCTACACATCTAAAGTGGAACCATCACAGAGATCGCATAAAATCATGTTGTCGTATTCTTCTGGCAGTTTACATTCACATAACATATTATAAAAACAATCGCTTGCAAATTTTATCAATACGAGTGTTAACAATAGCCGCCACAGTAATCACTTGCTAACAATAAACTATAGGATTAGTAAAAAATCCATGGAATGTGTTGGGAAGCGTATTGACTATTGTCCGTTGAATCGTCAACTTTCCGTGTCAGTGATATAATCTTAATTCTTCACTTCCGCAAAGAAAATGGCATTATATATGTGGTGTGGTTTATTCAAATCATTTCATGATACTTTGATTTTATTAGTGCATGCCTTAAACATTTGAGAATGTAACTCTGCAAAACTAAAAGCTTTCTTGTCTTTTTTGAAACGTATATTATTGGATTATTGCCTATTGGCAAGTTCTACCCTTCGCTTCTGAGATTTATAAACTATATTGAAATAATGCAGGTAAAAAATAGTGACAAACCATACATTTTCCGATAACGACAAAACGTGGATGCAAAACATATACCAATAATTACAATAACCACCACGGTGATTACTTTTTAACAATGAGTTTAAGGATTAACACTGAAATGCAAAATATGCATGGTGTGCTGTGAAGCATCATAAGTCCTATTGATCTACTGTAACTGTGTAAGCCCTTTCGATACATGTAATTGTAAATTTGTATTCTTACATACAGGGCTTGAAATAATAAACGTTCCCAAAGTTCACGATCATGGTGATCGGCAGTCATGACTTTCCCTGCTTTTTTCAGGTTGGAAACCGAAACCCTGCTTTTCCGCCGATCATAAGCAATTCCTTGCCGATCATTGATCGGTGATCGGTTGTTATTTCAAGCTCTGTCTTAACAATTTTGAATTGATACTGATTTCAAATGATTAAAGCCATGTAATAGTTATCCCATGCAACTGTTAGGAAGGGCGAAATTTTGAACGGAGGACGACAGTCCTAAAGAAAAGGTGAACTTTCTAAAGGGGGGCGAATTTCCTAAAGGGGGGCGAAATTCCTAGGATTTTCGCCCCCCCTGGGGGGGGCGATATTCCTAGGAATTTCGCCCCCCGGGGGGCGAAAATGTAGGGGGGGCGAAAATCCTGGGACACCGGTATTGGTCTTATAGGGACATCTTAAACTGTTAAACAATTCAAAATGGCCACTATCGAATTTTTCCCGGGCGATGACTACTAAGACCAGTATTCCTCACGGGCATCAAGCCTTGTGACGTCATTATGCATAAGGTCTGTTAGCACCACTGTCGTGTTAACCAATCAGTGACGAGGTAGTTTACAGCCAATCAGCGACGGACTTAAATAATGACGTAATGTTACTCTATGATTGTTGACGTGCCGTTGTGTTTAGGTCCTGAGTTGGTGAAATCACCCGTTTTCGGACTATTTCTTTATTTTCATTGTCGGAGTATGGTCAGAGTGAGTTTTTGTGATGGCAATTTTTCATTATGAAAGTAGAAAGCCTAAAACAAAGACGAACAACATTTACGTCGGATACTTTACGGTGGCACTGGCAACTTAAGACAATGAAACCAGTTTGAATCTCAGTATGTCTACTTGAATGCGGAAAGTTTAGGAAAATCGAAATGAATTTCAAATAGGTCACGTCTGCTGGCTTCAGCTGGTTTGACCTTGTTTGATCTTTTATTATCCATGGTCATTCTACTTCCTGCAGGGAAGAAGATATTAACAATGGATTTATTTTGATGTTTTTAAACTCAATAAATCGGCTCCACAATGTCTGGAGTTAAATCAGCCCTATGACTATGTCAGGAAGAACATTCTGGACATAACTCCCCCTCTACTCCGCCCCCCACCCACACCTCCACATCAGAATAGCACATAAAGTCATAAGATCTCGAAAGTGAATTATGACTAATTTTGAAATTCTGATCAAAACAGTACAAGCCACAAGTTTCGTTTTTCACAAGAAAACATGTCAACTGGTAATTGTGGCAAAAGGTACGTTTACATGCTGCGATTTGTCATGTAGAATTCGTAATCTGGCGAATGTAATCGAACAAACACGCGTCAAATAGTTGCATTTCACTGATTTCGCTGTGAACTGAACAAAGAGGAATTGTGTGACGTCAGCAGTAATTTTTATCAACGCCAGAATATGAATCGTACATGATAAATCGCAGCGTGTAAACGTATCTTCATAACTCAGTCTTATAAAAGACTGGATAGCCCAGAAATCGATGGATAGCACAATTCGTGTTATTTATAAAAACGAGGACCACAGTCTCGTAACTGTGAATTCAAATTCTGCTGAAGACAGCAACTTTCGTTTTCCCAGCAGTGACAAAAACATTACGAAAACTGCCCAAGGATTTATCACTTGGCCCGACGTGAACATATGCCGCTCAGGAATAATGTCCTCATAAAATTTCCCCCTTTCACTTAATTTTCGTCGTATTTCGTCGTATGTCGCAATTTCAAGTTTAAGTGCTTCCTGAAACGGTTACATTTGATGCTGTGGTAGGCAAATCCGATGTGTGACTGGGCCTTAAAATAAAGTCTAGTAAACTAATCCGGTCTGGGAAAGCTTGGGATGGATAGGATAAAACTACGTGAAAAATACAAGAACCTTGACGTCTCGAACGAAGGCTCTTCGCTGAGGACGTTGGGCCATCAGGACTCAGGAAGTTATGTAACTTCCCGACACGAAGAGCTTCAAAGCTTCCTTGATTATTCAAGTAATTGTACCCTTACTCACCCGCAGTTTTTCTAGGATTATTGACATTACCTAAACTGGCACAGACAGTTCAAAATTAATCCGATCAGAACCCAGGCCAGTCGTATTTGCAGATAGGGGTAATCCCTGGTTAACCGTTTCATATAGTGTAAATATTGTACTTGTGTGTTAGACCAACCCACCCTTACTTGCGCGCAATTTCTACGTCGATTCAATGGGCAGAGTGGCGGACCAGTATCCCAAAAAAGAAAGGTCAGCTAAAACTAAAGAAAAAACGAATGGTCAGTGCAGATAGCGCCAATAATAACAAAATTTCGGTTGACAGGGATTTAACTTCCTGAAATACAAGGAGACTGAATTCGACAACTAACTTTCTGACGAATGGCCCTCGCTCGAAACGTCTAAGTTCTCCTTGTCATTTTCAGGTAGTTGTATCCCTGCTCACACTTAAAGAAAATAAGAACTTACTGGAGACTCTGCAATTTACAGCTGCCGGTGGTGAGCGTCTGCGTCGTCTGCATGATGAAGCAGAACGTGAAAACAACACAACCAAGAAAACGACGAGGGACCAAGACCTGGGCAACATCAAACCAAACGATAAAACAACCAAACGCTCTCACTTTACAGCTGTGTCTCCTACAAAGATGTATACATGAATATAGTCGATGAACTGTGTTGAATTGTTATCAAAACACTCAATAATTATGTTGGAGTGGGGGATTTGGTCTCTGATTCTTATTGTTATATTCATTGTTATAAATTGCGTATTTTGCTATTCTATCGAAATAGCAGATTTGATTAAAAAACGAAAACATGGCTCTTCGATCACGGAAGTATTTCTCTTTGATCATGAAAATGGTCCTCTTGGATCATAAAACGTTTCTCTTCCGACAACGCTATCGCATTGGCGCGCGAAACATGACAATATAACCGAAATTGCTCTCTTATTGTACTTTCGCTATTTACCGGCCTAAATTCCTCTATGTAAATGTTGGATCATAATTGTAATGTAGATTGTAGGCACAAAGGTCTAAGAAAAACAACTAAGTGCTTTTGCCTTTGTATTCAAGTTATGAAATACAGTGTAATCTAGATGAACTAATGCAAATGTATAATACGAGTCTTAAAACTCTTAAACGGCAATGTCACCGATTTTTGACCTGAAATGCCTTTTATTTAAAAACTGAACTACAAAGTTTAAAAATGAGTCATATTAAACAACTTTGAACTTACACGCAACATGTAACATGACATTTTCATAAAAGTTAACTAAAACTTGAAAGTGTCTGCCAACAATTAATCAAGATGCCATTTACAATCCATCTTAATCCTGGCGTAATCTTGCCCATCCCTCTGCTTTTGTACATGTTTTTCGTGTCTGTTATTGCTTTATTTTGTGCTTACATTCATTCAAAATTTGCGAGGGTTAGAATTGCTCAAAAATCGGTGACATTGCCCCTTTAAATCTTCAAATCAAATAATTGCTAAGAATAAGTTTTAATCTAATCCATCGCCCTCCACAGAAGCTGGGAGACATATAGTGCCATTAGTGGTTTGTTTTCGAACTACTTGAAAAAGATTTAAAAGGATGCTTCAAGAACTGTGATATGTTCAACAAAGCGAAGTGCAGAATTTTACAATGACATTGTAAATTAATTTAAATGTAAAATGCAATTTTCAATCTTTGAAAAACTCACAGGAAATATTTTTCGTTTTATATTATTCTTTCTCGATCTTAGAGAAACTAAGTGCACATACCTTCTTTGCTTTCCGGCTATAACGTAGTTTTGTGCAGTCATAAAATTTTCCTTAGTGAAATACAAGGATAATTCGTTTAAGGTTAGGATCGTTGAACACTATGTCTATGATAAATTATATGTTCACATCACAATGACTGTTACTTAATAACACATATTTGAATTAAGGATTTCATAAGCGTTTCAAATAAAAAAGTTCACATCAGGTAATGAGGATATCGTATGTGATTTGATTTCGCATAGAAATTTCACATGTAAAATCACATTATGAGACTTGATTTCACATATGAAATCTTCACATTCCGACATGTGATTACATCATAGTTAATACATAATTACATATCGGGAACCAGGGACGCCGGAACGATAAAAAAGCAAAGGGGGGCCACCGCACACCAAAGGGCACCTCTATAGAACCCGGTGAAGATGAGATATAAACCTACATGCAGTAATGTGTTGACTTGCCAATGAAAGCAAACGCACTTAATCAGGTCACATTCAAGATCACACCTCATCATGATTTTGTCCAAAAAGCATCACTGGAAATGTGATTTATAATGTAGTACTTTACAACTCAAAGGGCACTTCTGCCCCCCTTGCCCCTCCTAGCAAAAGGGGCAGCTGCCCCTCCTGCCCCCCAGTTCCGGCGTCCCTGTCGGGAACCTTTACATGCATGAAATACTTTCGCATATGAAATTTTCATTTCACATCTGAAATTCATAGTTCCACATATGCAATCAGAGACGCTCAGATTTGACTACCGCTACCATTAAAAGAGACCATTAACCAATCAGACGCGTTTGATATATCCGATTAACCAATCAGACGCGTTTGATATATCCGATTAACCAATCAGATGCGGACTAAGCCAGTAAGAGGACGCGAGGTTGTTGTCGTGGAAGTCAAATCTGAGTCTTTCTATTACTATAGTGACGTTTCACATGTAAAATCATATGTGAAATTTTCGCAAGGGCAATGAAACTTAATTTGTTAAGACACTTAATCTGCTATAGTGCTAAATTTAAGACTTGAAAGTTAAAAGGATACATAACAGACATGGACTGGAGTAATATATGTTATATAATACCTTATTGAATTCTGATCGTTTAATTGGCCGTTTATGGTCACGTGATATTGAAGGGAAAATTCCATTTCCCAAGAGTGCAATGGAATGTGTTCCATTGCACTCTTGCGAGTGCAATTGTACTATACGTTTTGTTCCATTGCACTCTTTGTGTTTTCGATAAATCGCATCCGTCAAAATGCTTCTCGTACGTACCCTGGATTCCAGAGCCTTCGAAAGTAAATAATAAATTGAAATGTCGCGAAGGCTCTGGTTCAACGGGGCGATTCTTTGATTAAGCCGCGCCAATCACAAAACAGAATTAGTGGTTTTAGTACAGATTCTGTACTAAAACCACTAATTCTGTTTTGTGATTGGCGTGGCTTAACCAAAGAAAACCACTAATTCTGTTTTGTGATTGGCGTGGCTTAATCAAAGAATCGCCCCGTTGAACCAGAGCCTTCGCGACATTTCAATTTATTATTTACTGACGAAGGCTCTGGAATCCAGGGTATCTCGTACGGTGATCGCAGTTTATTTTAACCCGATATTCGAAACTCAGTAAATGGGATTTAATGCAAATACGACTCGTCAAAATGACGAAAGCTTACAGTAAACCTTTTAATATTAGTCTATTTTGGTATTATATAAAACAAATAATGAATGTTATTATTCGTGCAATGGTAAGAATATTTTCATTCGGTGAAAGATGGAATGTTCCATTCAACTCGGCTGTCGCCTCGTTGAATGGAACATTCCATCTTTCACCTCATGAAAATATTCTTACCATTGCACTCATAAACATTCATTATTTGTATACTATATAATGTTTAGTTACTTGGTTTTTACGTTATATCTTCTTGCCAAAATATTTCAGTAAAAAACATTATAAAAAGCTAGGAAAAAAAGTAGGCCTACTAGTTTTCACTGTGTAAATTGTGCCCCTAAAATATTTCATTAAGAACTATGGTTGTTGTCATCTCACTTCAACTTCGTTTAATTTCGTGTTTTATTCTGTTGTTTCGTATCCGTTTCTTCCAAATTGTGCATCGTGCACTCTCGCATGGAGGTCGCCGTCGATACTCTCGTAGACTGGGAACGGGTTTGCCGTGTACTGATTCATGGTGCTTTGTCTGCTAGTACCACTAGTACTAGCCTCTCCTCTCTTCCAGTCCCTATCACAGTAGCCTGGGTTGGCAAAGGCTGGGTCGAGACACACCTGCACGTAGAGATAATTATATTATCGATTACTGATCGATTCATTCATCGAAGAACTTAATTGATTTATCGAACTTTCGATAATTTATTGAAAGCCGAACAAACAGAGGATATATATATAGTAGATTTTATAGTAGATTTCTGAAGTTGACCTATCTACTGCCTGGTTTAATGAAACGTCCAAATTTTATGAATGTTTTGCCTACCTTCTGTTTCTCCACCACAGAAGGATTGGACGGTCCACTGTGAGAATCTCTGTCTTCATATGACATCTCATACATCGGGTTCGAGTCAACCGTGACCGTGTTATCATGGCGATTATAATGTACAGGTGCACTGTTGTTGTCTCTCTAACAAATCAATCAAATAGTTTAATACCTAGCCATGAGTTTGGTGTGGGCACTGAACTCCATGTATATCTGGAGTAAGAACTTCAGTCACTCGGTCTATGAAAAAACTGAAGTCAAGATGGCGACCATTGACATCCAACAGCTCTGAAGGCCGAAACAGCTCTTAAGGTTCGGTCACACGGAGCGACAAGTCGCAGGGGCATGTTGCAGGGCCATGTCGCCCGAAACGAGTCACACGAAGCGACAATGCTAGGCGAAAACAAGTCGCACAAGCGCTTACAGGCGCGTGGTCACACGAGGCGATAATTCATGCGACAAGTCAAAGAACTCCCATGAGGACTTATATTGAAATTGAGCGTGCAAGTAGTCATGGGAATGATATTTTGTGATTGGTCGGACTAATTATTTCCCCGCGACTTGTGAACAGACTAGCTCACACGATGCAACAAGTCGCGGCAACGGCTTTTTTCCCCGCGACACGTCGCATGAAATCAAATCAATTTGATTTCATGCGACATGCCGCGGGGACAATTTTTTGTCCCCGCGACAACGCTTACACGTGTGACACACGATGAAATTCGACCCCGCGACATGTCCCTGCAACATGCCCCTGCGACTTGTCGCTCCGTGTGACCGAACCTTTATACGGCTAGGAAACAATGTTTTCTGCTTTGCCCACCTTTGCCTTTGGGAAATATTTGCTTCAAAACTGCAGTGATTCCTGATTTGCCGACCTCTAGGAATATTTGCTGGGAAACAACGCCGGTTTCCTGGTTGACCCACCTCTGGAAAATATGACTTGAAAACAACGTTTTACCGGTTATTGTTTCCTGCTTTGCCGGCCACCTTTGGGAAACATGACCGGGAAACATTTATTCTGCTACGTTTGAGTTAGTTTTTCCAGATCTTAACACAAACTAAGCACACATACCTGTTTCTTTGCCCTCCTTCTAATCACAACCAACAAGACGATAAAAGCAACAACTATAACTCCAGCAACGATATAGATAATCCAGAGTGGAAACCCACTTTCACCAGCACTATCGCCTTCTGAGCCTGAGGTGTTAGTATCATCTAAACATTTCACTTCAGTATTTTTCAGCAACTCGCATGCCGCTGAATCAGGAATGAGATTATAGCTGGGCTTCTCAGCTACAGCAAAGACTACGTTGGTTGAAGTCCCTTGACCGACGTACACAAGTAGTTCTACATAGACATCGTCGTATGACGCCGCACGTCGTCTTCTGGATGCATCGTTTTGATCTAAAATGGTAGAGAAATATCTAAGCAATGATTTCCAAGTGATGTGAATGGACAACTTGCATGTTAGACTAAATTTTAGTCTAAGCAGAGAAAAGGGAATCAAACACCACAGCTAAAAAGAACATAATGAAATTAGTAAACTTGCAAAATTTTGTTGCGAAATGTTGTAAAGCTTGGAAAATATAGCCTTGCAAAGTTTGCATATTTTCAGTATATTTGTATTACGTGCGGAAATTGTTACCATTTTCGGCTGGAAAATGGTAACAATTTTCGCACGTAATACAAAATGACTGAAAATTGCAAACTTCGCAAGGCTATATTCTCTGCATTTTACAACATTTCGCAACCAAATTTTGCAATTTTACTGATTTTAATAAGTTCTTTACGGGAATTTACTTTTTTTGCCTAAATCAAAAATTTGTCTAACATGCAAGTTGT